CTTCTCCCAAATACTCCACCACCTTCCCAGGGATCAAGAAAAGGCTGACTGACCTGTGGTTATCCTTTGTGCCATATTCTCCTTCATGCTGAGTCCTCCTCCATGTCATATTCTTGAAGGAGGGCATGACATTTGCTTTCCTTCAGTCTTTGGGTATTTCTCAAGTTGCCATGATCAAAGATTATCAAGACTGGCCTTGCAAGGACTTTTGCCAACTTCCTCAGCACTCATGGGTGCATCTCATTGAGGCACAGTAAAATCTGAGGCAAAAAGGCATTTAGTACTTTGGCCTTTTCCATATCCTGTGTAACCAGATCTCCCATCTCATTCAGCAATGGGCCCACATTTTCTCTAGACTTCCATTTGTTACCGAAGTACCTGAAGAAGCCCTTCTTGTTGTTTATAGCATCCCTGGCCAGATTCAATTCCATCTGGGCTTTGGCTTTCCTAATTTTGCTCCTCAGTGTTCAGTGTCTCTGTATCCTCCGAAGGATACCCATTCTTGCTACCACCCTCTCTATGTTTCCTTTGTAATGCAGCAAAAGCAAGGTGCAATAAAGGGTATTCCCTTCACTCCATGGAATAGTTACTGTCAAAAATTAACCTGATTAAACTCAAGCCGTTACCAAGATTGAAAAAATATAAAATCTGAGAAGAATTGTTATAAGCAGAGCATCCCTGTTGCTACTCCACACTTCTAGAGAAGGCTAACAGGGAACATCAGGTGGCCCAACCCAGCCTTCTGTAGGTCAGCATTACACCTGGATTGAAACCAACGTATATGCATATACACACATCAAACACATGTATACACACATCAAACTGTATAACTGAAACCAAACTATATAATATAAATATCAGGTATTATATAGCATGTATAATAAGGCTTCTCTTTAAGAGCTAGTGTGGCCTTTACTTTGATGAATTAACATATTTTAGAGGGTGTGTATCTGATTCATGATTAAAGCTTCTATATTTCTAGCACCAGAAGAAATTAAACCAATTTGCTGATCCTGTAGGTAGCTTGGTGTTAGAAAGAAGAGTTGTTTCTTTTCACATGGTAAACCCAGTAACCAGAGGTGGAGGGGAATTAACCCACATCAAAAAAAAGAACCAGTTTTCCTAAATGAAATTTTGTAATGTGACAGAAATACTTTAAAGAAACTAATGAAGTCTAAATATTGCATCATAATTTGTCCTATTAATGTTGGTATCATTACTTTAAAATACATGTTACTGTAGATATTATATTTTTCAGACATCTAAAGTAGGGCAAAAGGAAAGTGCCGTAAAAACCAAACAGATTTATGTCAGGGTGTATGTTCAGATGCAGAATTTTCTTGTGTAAACTCCAGGTTTACAATTATATATTACACATAGAGAGCAAGTTCTGTGTTTGAAACTGTCCAACACTTTCAAGAAAGCTAATATATCTGTTTTGATTTTCATGAAATTCAGAACATAGAAGATCAAATACACTCAATAATTAATGCTAAATGTCAATGACATACCAGCAGAAAGGAATTTTTTTCCCCACGAATATGGTATGAACAGAATGTGTTGGGAATAATGTCATTGCCCACAACAAGCCCTTTTCTCAAGAGCACATCTCTCCTAACAAATGTTGAAAGTTGGCAGTACAAGGGGCCCCTCTCCCCATTTCCATGTTTTGCTGTATGATCTGTACAGTTACCATCTTTGGGGCACTTAGGACTCTAAATTTAGGAGTCTAAATCCCGACTCTTCCCTAAAAGCTTGTCTTAAGTGGTAGGGTTCAGTTTAGAGGGTGCACAGCTCCCAGCAAGACTGGGAGAGAAATCCTAAGTGTCTCCAAAACATGTAAATGTGACATTCCCATCTACCCACGAACTTGTGACTGAGGTCCTGCCCTCCTTCCCCATTCAGCTCATGTAGTCTATACCCAAGAGACCTTATCCCACATCACTCTGTTCCCAATCCCAACCCTGTGCCACCATGACCTTCAGCACCCTTGTATTGCACATCCCCCAGGGTCCCTCTGGTGCACTTCACCCTCCTTCTGCATGTTGTCTCCTTCCCACATGAAGGGTACATAAGAAACTGCAGTACAAGTCAGGCACCATGACTTGTGCATCCAATGTTGGATGGATGCAGCATTTTTAAATTTTAGAAGTGTAGACCATATTTGACTCCACTTTGTCCTTCAGACAGGTCCAGGCTCAGCTACCTACAACTTCTCAAATGCCTGAGAAAGGCCACTGTCTGCCATCCCCCACTCATCCACTCCGGGCAAAAGCTCCTGGCAGAGGTTTTTCAAAGGGCTGCACCAACGTGGTACTTGCCTTTGCTCTTTGCCAGTGCAGGACACCTCCACTGTATGTGTGGATGGAGTGAAGAGTCAAGAGGTGGTTGAAGAAAGCTTCCTGTTGAAGTTAGTATCTGCTCAGTATCTGCTCAGTAACATGTCTAAGCTAGAAAAAGTCTGTCATGTATGACAGATTTGCTGATGTAATGGGCACATGCTCGCATTAGTGGTAAATAACTTAAGCCAAGTTTTCCAAAAGCAGTTGGAGATTTTGCATGTTGCAGTTCCTATTTGTCACTGCTTTGAACAAGAGAAGTGTAACCTCTCTGAAAAATCAGACTGACATCAAAACAACTGGTTCCCAACATTTTTTTCCTAAGACTTCTACCTGGTTTTCATACTCCTCAAAAGAATCCTGCGCACCTGTGGAAAAAAGCTGAAACTTCCTCCTCATAGCCAAGATGTATCATTCAGCCCTGCCAATGCTCATGTTTGGAGCAGCAGAAGCAGGTCAATGAAGTGTGTGCATTGAGCACTGATACACCACTGAGATTTCTAAAAGCATGAGCAGGACAAACCTGCAGTCTCCTGTATATGCACAAATAAAACAAAAGCCCAAGACTGCTCACCTCCCGTGGGAATTTCACCTATTTGCACAGACTTTGGGGTCATCTCATTTACAAAGGTACACATCTGACCACAGGCAGCAAAATAAGCAACCAATTTTCAAAGAGAACAATTGCAAGTAAAACTTGTTACCCAGGGTGATGATTTCTCATCCACTCTGAGTATTTTTGACAAGAGGAAAAGTCCCATCTTCCCCCAAGTGCTGCTTCCTTAGAAATCTGCCCTGGCAGTTACAACCTGCTTCTCAAACACTCTGGTGTTTTGAATCCAAGCAAAAGCTTTGGCAGCTGTAAACTTAGCATGGACTCATTTTAAGTGATGAGAGGAAACAGGCTGACAGTGAGCTGATTAGAAAGCTCTTAGAGCTCTCTCAGCTGAGTGGGGAGAACAGGACAACTTTCTTCCTGTGTTGCCAGAGAGAGGACACGGGGGCTGCTAGAGCCCAGCTTGCTGTCTTCTGCAAGATCATGAGGATGTGGGAAAAGACCATTTCGGGGAGGTTGAGCTGCCTTCGCCAGTCTACCCCTTCCTGACAGCCTCTGTTCTGAAGATAACGAGGGAAGAATTAGCAAAACACTATGGTAGAGACTCAATGAATTTACAGAGACAACTGCAAGCTGTTTCCTGGCCCCAGCCTTATCTGGAGTCCCAGAAAATAACCCTTTCTCTGAGGCCAATAAATAACCCATTATGACTGGGATGAAGTATCTGGTTAAATTTTTGCTGCTGAGGGCTGCGTAGCAGGATGTGCTTTCCACAAAGAACAGGACCAAATGTATTCCTAGCCGTACTCTGGAGCAGGGAGGAAAGGCTCTGCAGAATCCTCTCACCGGGGGCAGGTGGGTTAAGTCAATGTTGTTTAAACACATGGCAGAAAATAAAGACGAAGAGATAGAATGGGAAGAAAGGGTTAAAAGGATGCACTCAAAAAGCCGTGTAGATGTTGTTGAATGAACAAAGCAGCAAGCATTAAAAATAATGCAGCAAAAAAATACAGGAGGAAATTACTTCATTGCAGCCCACACTGCATTATCAGTACAAAAGCTCTAGGAGCTGCTTTTCTTTCCAAAATGGCAGCTGACAGCTGATTTAAACAAAAGGTCATGAGGACAGCGAGAGGACAAGAGGGAGGCTCAGGGAAGGGGTAGATGGAAGATGCACCAAAACAGCAAGGGTTTAAAGCCACAGGCAACCACAGGCAGCCCCCTTCAGCGCCCTGACATCCCTCTGAGCTGAAGAAGATGTGTCCTAGTTCAGATGTCATCTCTGACCTGTTGCCAAGCAATGCCTCTGCTTATCACATGTCAGACTTCAGGGCCCAGCCCCCACATTTCACCAGAAAGCAACTTTCTGCTCTGTGGTAGCAGCCCCACCGCAGTGCCAGGGCAGCAGTTCCCCAAGGATGTGTATGCACAAAGAAGTCAGCAGAGAGGCTCTGAAAATTTCACAAAATTTGGGTTGGTTTTGCATTTTCATTACAATTTTTATGCAGCTGTAAGAATATAGTGAAACGTATGAGCATCCACCACATTACGTCCCTACCTGGCTTAAAGGACCACCCCTAGGGTATCTTCAAATTTACTAGCTACAGCCCTATTCTACCTCCGCAAGAAAATGACCTCTGTGAAGCAATCAACCTTTTGTTGGTCCCCTGAGCAGTCAAGAAGGCAATTTACACTGCAGTTCATTCCTGCTACCTTCATAAAGAAAAAAAAAAAAGATAAGGAAAAAATGCCTGCTCACTCCCAGCTACAAAACCAGTGGGGCAAAAATGCAGTTCAGCCGTATGGTGGTACCTATAAAACCAACTATCTTAGATGTAAGTTTGGTTTGGGGTTAGGAATTTTTTTCCTTTATAGTGAAAGAACTAGGAGTAATAGTCATAAATTCTTTCATTGAGTTTCCTGGGGTCTGAAAGACATCTGGGAGGATTATGGGAGGAATACAGTGTTCTGTAGCTGTTCTTGGAGCAGCCTTGATTTATGGCTCCATCTATAACTGCTGCAGTTCACCTGAAGCAGACATCAAAACCATCCCTGGAGTTGAGCGATGATGATGTCATAGTTCAGCAGCCAAACTCCATGCTGGGAGAGGCCATGGTCTGCTTTACCTTTCCCTTCCTTTGAACGATCCCACTTTATCATTTCCTAGCCCTGGGTGCGTCTCCACTGGGATGCAAGCCCCGTAGCCCCACTGTTACCTCTGTGGGACATGACTGTGGCTCGATCACACTTGGGAGCAAAGGTGGCAGTAGAGAGGTGCCCTGCTACCAGGGCAGAGGGCTGCCCTTCCTAAGACAAGAAGCACCACCAGTCCCTGTTGCAAAGTATCATGGAGAGGGTGAGCAAGGAGGACACAGTAACACAGCTGTGCCTTATAGCCGTGATGTGCTTTCTTATCCCTTCTCCTAATTTGGCTCTTTCCAAACTGCAGCCTAATGATGCTATCAGAGAAACCTTATCATAGTTTTGTTGAAAAGCAGTCCTATATTAAGCAGGGATCCTGGAAAATGTTGAAGAGGGGGAGAAGGATTCGTCGGCACAGACAGACGCATTTTTGCAGAGGCAGATGACCAGTTCTCCACAAAGCGTCCAGAGCTTTCATGGTATTCCCAATTAGCCTTCATGCCTCTAGCTGACTTCTCATAAAAATGCTGAAGGGTCTTTGATCTCAGAGTACATGTCCTTATGAGAAGAGGAGGGGTAAAATTGCAGAGGTCGGACAAACGCTTGACAGCAGTTACTGCAGCTCCTCAGACCTCAGACAGCCTCTGTGGTCCTGTGCCAGAGACTGCAGATTTGGTTTGGTCAGTCCAGAGTTGAAAAGGCAGAGCAGAGCTGCTCAGGTCAAATCAGATGCTTAACTCTGTTTACATTTTGTGATGGGTGGGGAAGTTCAGTAAAAATTAGGATAAAAAAGAACAGCAGAAAAGAAAGACTAATGGGAAGTTACAAACTGAAAGTGTCAACCTCCCTGTGTCACATCATCTGAGTTTGGATATTAGTTAATGGCTCAGGCAGTTTCTCAACTCACCCTACTCAAATTATCTAGAAGTGGCAAAAAATTTGGAAGTTGTGTTTCCTTGGAACACGCTATATCCCCAGCTTTGTGGCCAACACACATAGCACAGCTTTTGTATCTTACAATCTATTACTTTGTCTGATGCTAGAACAGACCTCATACCCTGGAGGGATGAAACTAGTCCAAATGATAACAACTTAAATGGCACTAAAAATTAAAAAAAAAATTCATACAGATATTCTTTACTTATGTGTCTGACAGAAATTCCTCTGTGAGAAAAGAATTTCAGGCTGTAATGGAGGAATCAGATCTCTACTGGTTCCAGCCTTCTCGTTGACTCAATGCTTATGGAGCATGCATATAATGGTTTTCCCCCTGAGAAATCAAATTTATCCTAAAATGCCGTGGAATTAAAGGGATGGACTCCCCTCCTGCTTACCTCTGCCAGAACACCCCTCATGTTAACAGCTCTCTGCAGCAAAAATAAAACAAACTGTCCACTATCATCCTAACTGTATGAAAGAGAAAGAGCTTTTCTGTGCATTGGGGCTTATTATTATCTAAAGCACTGGAGTTATTCTGGAAAAAGAAATCAGGTATTGAAAATCTAAGGCCTGAATAAATAATTTGAGGCTGATATGAAGGCTCACGTAAACTGAGCAATGTACAGTTGAAAAAGCAGTGGTTTGGTTCCCCTCCACCAATCCACCTCTCGAGAAGGGATACATGCCAAAATACTGACACCAGGTACTTAGAAGCAAAAGGAGCTTGCTGCAAATGGAAACCTGTAGGCAGCAGATAGTGCACAGTAGACTTTATTGTCTACTAGCTAGGAGCCAGAAGAATTAAATGTATAAACAGAAGCAATAACCTGGTGATGGGCAACACCCCAGAAGTTCAGTTTGGAGACAATATCCCAGGTTATTTGAAAAATCTTCCCTGGAGCTGGGGTGGTAATCTCTTCTGAGCAAACATTTCTAGTAAACACAGACCTTCCTGGGCTGGACTCTGCAGGAGCTCTGCCAAGGAGACCACTCCTTTTTGTCTCAATGCAACTCCTTTCATGAGGAGTGCAGTCCAGGGACAGATACTCAGCTCTCTGTAGAGCCCCCCTTGTGCAGACGATTCACCATGTGACTATCTGATAGCTCAGATGAATGTGGAAGACAGGAAAATGGCACTGAGTCTCAGTAAACAGATCAATTTGCAATTAACTTCCAATTCTCTCTTTTCTTGAAAGGAGAGAATTGGAAAGCAGCTGGGGGTTGTGATAGAGGGGGTACAACAGAAAATCACTAAAGACTTTATTCCCGGTTGTCTCTGCTTTATGTGTCCCCATGTTGTGAGGTGTGGAAATACTGGGACCATTTGCATGACAGGAGGAAGAAGAGGCAGACAGAATAGCTGCCATGTAGGAGGTATATTTCAAGACCGGTTTGTCAAATACATTTTGCATATACATTTAGCCACAGACAAAAGGAAGTAATTCATTCGCCAATTCCTGTGGTGAAAATTACTTCAAGACTTATTCCATGCCCATGTGCCAAGCACACTTCTGATACAAATCCTACAGTTACACACCCAAACACACACATGAGCACACACGCTCCCACATGCAGAGAGATCCCATCAGTGGCACTAAATAACTTATGAAAATGGTTAGTTATGTTTTATCTGGAACAAAAACTAAATCTGGATGTGAAAAGAGAATCAAAAAAGCCATCATGTTGAGACTCTTGAAATAGGAAACATCTGTCTGGGAAGAAGGCACCGCCTGCCCTGACACTGAGTCATGGTGCAAGGAACTCTGTGCCCGAAACATGACTCTCTGCAGAGGGCTGGGAACACAAGTCACCTCACCTGACTTCGTATTTTCTCATCCTTATCATCCTGGAATACTATACATCCATGACTATTTGTACAGTGCTCTGCATGCTCCACCAGGACTATCATGCCCAACAGAAACAGAAATTTGGATGGATGAAAATGAGAAGGCTCAGGGTAGTTATTTGGAAGCTCCATCAACAAAATCATTATTCAACATGGGAAGTGGTTATGATGTTTGGCTGTGGTGATACATTTGAACTCGTGGGAGCTGGGGCTTCCAGGTAGGCTACAAAGAAATCTGGTCTGCAATGAATGTGTCTTCAGTTCATCATAGGCAACGGGAGAAATGGTTCATCTGAAATCCATGAGATTTGGAAGGCCCTCACCTGAAACACAGGCTTGTCAGAATCTATTTTCCAGAGGTTCAAAGAACATTAAAAAAAAAACAACAAAAACAAACAAAAAAACCCAACCAACCAACCAAACAAAAAAAAAAAAAAAACAAATGAAAAAAGCATACAGCATAAGCAAAGGAACAAGAACGTGAGAGAGAGAGAAGAAAGGGGAAATCTTGTGCTGAAGGAAATGGACAAGTTGTATTTTTGGCTGTATGTTTCACTGTAGAAAGGAAACACAACATAATGGACACACTAGTGCTCCAAAAACCACATCTCAGAGACACCATTAGCTCAGGAGGTTCACAGCATATATAAGCTGAAAAAGACAAATATATACTTTGTGTAATCACAGTCTGAGTAAAGACTGCAGAGACCATTACCACACCAGAAGGATAACTCAGCCAACCACAGTCTCATAGGTTATAAAAAACTGCATTCAAGAAAGTCAAATAGGCTCCACAGAGCTTTTGAGATGACAGAAATGACAGGAAAGCAAAAGCATTTCTGAACTGAAGGGACAAATCCTGACCCACCAGTCCTACAGAACAGCGTAAGCTATGCATAATTATCTGAGGACAGAGACATAAAGAACAAGAAAATAAGGCTGTTTAAAGCCAATAATTGTTTCCTATGCTTTCACAGAGCTGTGCTGAATAAAATGCATTTGTTACATTATGACCGTGGGTCACAGAAACCATAGTAAGGGAGGAAAACGCAGGAAGATTATATGTTGCAAGGAGACATAGCTGCACTAAAGATGAACATAAAAAGCAAAACTGAATAGAGATCTAGAATTTCTAAATTACCCTTGGCCCAAATGTCTGGCTTACCACTGAAATAGTATAATTATAAAGCTGGCATAAAAAACAGGACATGGATCTAGTTACTAATTTCTTACTAGCAATAGCAGCAAAACAGTTTCTGCCAGTAGCGGGTCTCTTGACAAAAACCTTGTGTCTTCTACACGATGTGACCTATAGGGAAAACTGTTTTTAATCAGGCAAATCTATAAATGGTATGCAGTTGTGGTTGGTCTTCTCAGATGTCAAAAGGAACAGAGGAGAAAGTGGAGGAAAGGGAGGGGGGGATATTCACTGTAATTTCTCATTTAACACTTCACTTTCTCTGAAATGCACAGTGGAATTTTGCAGATTTAGGAGGCTGATTTTGTCATGCAGGCCAGTGATGGCAACAGTGTCACCACACAAACCAGGTGAAAAAAATAAGTTAAAAAAACCCCAAAACTCTTCCTAGTAGTATTGTTTTAGCCTGTGTACTCCACTTCAGCTTTGACTGCAAATACAGGGGCCTTTTCATTGCTGCCATTCTGAACTCAGTCTCTCTAATCTCTGTTCTCCAGTACACACTTAAGCCTAAGCACATGAGCTACACCACTAAACTCAATGGCACAGTTCCGTGCCAAGATGTTAAGCATGTGTTCAGGTGTCTCACTGGGTCTGTCCAAAGAGTTTGGACAGAAAATAATTCTAAATAGTTTTCTTTTTCTCTGGAAGGCGTTCATGAAACAGCAATCAGTGGAGTGAAATAACATTTAAATGTCTTACACCATATCATAGCCTATAAATAGTGTAAGGTTGTGTGGAGATTTTTGTCTTGCCTTTTTACCAGTGAAAAGTTTTCTTCAACAAAACTGAACTTTTTTGCCATGTTTCTGCTTTTTCCTGAGGTGTTTGAGCTTTTGACAAAAATCTGAACTCTTAAAAACCTAATAGCTTGGCTGCCCTGAAAAATGCAGAGTTTATGGTTAAAAAACCTTTTATTCTTCTGATGAAAAGACAAAATTTTGTGCAGAGCCAAATCCAAATCATTCAGCTATTGAGCTGCACACATTTTCCCAGGAGACACACGGCAATTGGATTAGTATTAGAAGGGCATAGCCCCTTTCATGTCAACCAATCCAGTTCTAACCTCCTTTTTGCAAATCTGTGACCTATACTTCATATTTAAAATGTCATTTATTTATGTGTGTGTGTGCATATTGTGCATATGTATTTCCCTGTTATTCTACCGTGGGTATGTTGGGGGCCCTCCAATGCCCGAGAGCTGCCAGGGCGCTTGAGCATTTATGACCTGTGATTCAGAGTGGGTCTGAAGGTCATTAAAGGCTGGGTGAGGAAGCAGTTCACGCAACAGCCAGTTTACCATGATTGATTCCTGTGCTGTAAAATATTATGAAACCTCCCCATTAATTCTTTTTCTCTGCAGAGGGCCTACAAGCGCTGGTGAAATCCTTGAGGAGCAGCTCTGTCAGAGCATGGGCACAGGCAGCACTTGTCCCACCAGCTTTTCCAAATGGTTTGCTGAGTAATGTCACAACACTGCTATGATGTTGAAAAAAAAGGTCACCAAGGCTGATAGATAATGATTTTCAAAAACAAACAAAACCCATGAGTTGAAGAAATACTTTTGCTCTTAAAAAAAAAAAAAGTCCACATGCAGCTCCACAGCCATGCAATAAAAGGGGTCATTGAACTGTGTGCTATGATGATATCTTACCAGGCTCACGGACAAAGGTGATCCATGAGCACCTCCTCCGTCCTGCACTGAACAAAACAGACACAACAGCACTGCAGAGGTCCAATGATGATCACCCCATGCTGCCTGCATGTCTCATCCCATTCTGGATAGAGTTACAATTTTCTCAGGACAGATGAATTAGTTCCTTTCAGACATTATTGGCAGAGCCTTGTCCCAGTGATGTCCATCTGCCTGTAGCCTGGGACTGTCCTTTTATGCTGCACCAAGGCCACAGCCCATTCCATATCATCCTTTCTTCCAAAAACCCTGACCCTCTAACAGACATGCATTCATCAAACAACAACAACAAAAAAGCAGGTGTCTCCCAGCACTCTACACAGTGAGAGAAAGCAACTTGCTTCCATTCCTCAGCATGTGTTTAGACATAGTGTACCCAGCAATAAGACCTCACATATGTAACCTGTTGCACATGTATATTTTACCATAAGACCAGAAGTGCACTGTAACGTGATCAAGGAGGTTTGGGTTTTGGTGACACAATAAATACAGTTGTTTGCATGGCCAAAAAAAAAAAAAAAAAAAAAAAAAGAGGAAGGAAAAAGGGTTCTGGCATAAGACTCAAGTATTTCCAAAGGAAAGGGAGGCTGTTC